ATCAACTAATATTTGAAAAATCAAATTTGAAAATTAAAAAAAAACTGTCAAGAAGTGTGGGCTCATCTTTGAAGTTTGGGTTAATTATGACCTTCCATTTTAAATAGCTAATAGCATAAAACAAAAATTACCTCTATCAACTTGAAACAAACGGTAAGAATATTTCTCATATTTATCAACTTCTCATTCAATCTATTCTAAAAAACAATATAAAAAGAAATCGAATATAAATAAAACATTTAAATGAAATTGTGTATAGGTAAAATGCAGTAAGTACTAAATCCCTCCATCTTCATTACTTTCTTATACCCTATCCTAAAAGACAACATTAAAAAGAAATCAAATATGAACCCAACATTTAAATGAAATTGTATGGAGGCTATTGCCCACATATACATTTTATAAGTTATATCCTCTTTTTTTGGGATTTAGAGTAATAATATGCTACAAATAACATATGCAATCCCAACAATTGTTTATCTTTTTTTGGATTTATAGTAATAATATGTTACAAATAACATATGAAAATCCAACAATTTCATTATATGAATTAAAATATGAATATATATGAATATTCATCCACACATACACACATATAAAGCAAATTTATGTTTTTCGAAGATATAAAAAATTGAAATTCTTTTAAATTATTAAAATACAGATATAATCATTTGAAAAGTCAATTTCTTTTTTCTTTGACTTTTTCAATTATGGAGAGCATATATTCTTAAAAAGCGAATAATCAGCATAAATAGCTAAGATGACTACTTCTAACTCTAAAAGTTAATAACAAAGAAAATTTTAAAGAAAATGTGATAATAGGAAACAAAAATACAAAAAATAAAATATATGAAACAAAACAACCATTAACTAACGCAAGTGAATCTATGACATTCCTTATTTACATCAATTACTTATTTCAATATTTTTAACAACATTTTCAGTCAAAGTCATGTTTTCAACAACATTTTTAGCCAAAGTCATGCTTTCAACAACGTTACTCCAATAGTGAAGTAAGCCAAATAATTGTTAGAATCCAACATTATAGAACACTCAAGGAAAATTCTAAGAATGGAAACTTTGTGATAGGCGTTGTGGAGGAAGTTTGAGTTTTTGAAAAATTGAGTGTTCGACAAAAGGTGCAAGAGAGCTAGGCATTCTTCATCAAGGTAGATAGATGGGGCCTTTTTAATTATTTTAATATAATTAGGCATACTTATTCTACAACCTTACATGTAAATGAATATCAATGAGTTTGTGATGTGAACAATGGTTTGCAAATATGTTTTGATGAAAGCTATAGATTATGTATATATGTCTAATATGTATTAATTTTAAGAATAGAAAAAAAACCTTTCAAACCTTTACATCTCATATATCTCATTTGTCTATGATTGATGTATAATTGATGGTTTTAATGTTGATATAAGAAATGATTTCTCATTAATGAGCCCATGGTATTTATGGTCATTTATTTTTGAGATTATTGATATGGTTGATTGACTCCGATTTTGTTATGTCTCAACCTCCATGATATGTTGGTGATTGGATTCACCCTTTTGATTGAACTGCATCTTGAACAATGAATTATTTATATTGTGATTGGTGAAGCGTATTGGGATAAGGGCTTGTAGCTAGTGATAATAGATGCTAGCCATTGTGCATAATGATTTACAGCTAAAGTCACTAAAGAGGTAATTTCCTAAGACTCGATGGGTATTTGTAGTTAATGGAGTTCTACCTTTTCTTTTATGGTCGGTGACTATATGTACCGGACCTTTCTAGTGAGATGACATTAGGTGATTTATTTATCCTAGGCTAGTGCTTCATGGTTATATTGAGTTGATGTCTAATGTGTTGGACTTAAATTATGCATACTGTTGTTTTGTTGATTGAACTTTGATTACTTGACTATGAATGAAAGTCTTGGATGAGGTCCTAGCGTTGGGTTATAGGCTAAAATATTGAATTCTATGTTGTATCTATCGATACTTTTGAGGAAGTATCGATAGATTTATTTAAAAAAGATTGAATTTACATTATGTGTAAAATTTATTGATAGATTCGACCAATCTATCAATAGACGAGACAATTTATCGATACATGGAACCTATGTATTGATGGATCAAGCTTATTTTGAAACTTGAATATTTTCAAATGTTTTGTAAAGAGGAAAATGAATTTGTTTTATAACCAAATCTTTGAAAACCTTGATTTATGTTCGAAACACTACATGATTGATGTTTAACTCACTTTTTAAACAAACTTCTTAAATTGGTTTCCAAACAATAAATATTGCTTTAAAGGTTTATGAACCATTTTACAAATGATGTTTTATAAAACATTTAGGTATCCTTGTACCTTTTGAAGGATAACGAACTTGGAGTTGTTATAGACTTATGTTTTTTGATTTATTTGAAAGACAATGGGCTCGGAAACTATGGGATTAATTGGTTCTTGATTCATTTGAATGATAATGGATATGGAGACCTTGTGGATACTTGATACACTTGATAAAGCTAGATTGTTATATGATGACGCTTGAAAAAGCAAGATTCACATTTATAGTTACATCTGAAAAGGTAGGGTTTGCAAACATAAAATAAATGGTTATTTGCATATTTTGAAAGTGTATTTTGATAAATACTCGTCCCTATTAACTTGTTCCCTTTCCTTGTATCTGCTTATGGAGTTATTTATAACTTACACATGTAAGATACACTTGTTTTTTTATATCAGTAGATTGCTTGGCTCATTGTCCTTTAGGAAGAGCTATCTCTATAGTCAGTGTTGGCAGGTGATCATCATGGCATCCAGTAGGCGTCAATCTTTTTTCTTGAGTCATACTTTGCTGGGTTTGGTCTGATCTAGTCCAATCATTCGTACTTGACTGTTATGGATTTTGGCTTTGATTATGATGTAATAATTGATATTATGGATGATTGCCATGAGATGACTCATGCTTGTATTCGCCATAAGATGGCTTATATTTGGATTATTATGTATGTTGCTTCTATATTATGAGCACATTCACATGCAAATTGATATGATATTTTATGATAGACAATGTTATCATGTTTATAATTGTTTTATATATGATTTCATAGTGATAAGTCCCATGAAGCATATATGAGTATTTAAATAATTTACTATCTTGGATTTGCATGGATTAAAAGAGTCACTCCCATAGATGCTCTTACGCTTGTCATAACTTTGAATCTAGATCGTGACAAAAGGAAAGTTAGATTATTCAAAAATATTGTAAAAAAATATTAACATACATAAATCTTGGAAGTCGTTTTAGGATGTAGAAATATCTTTACAGTATTCCTTAGCAACTTAAACCCAGGTCCGACATTGATGATAAATATTTACTAAAGAGTTTGCAAAAATTAAAAAGTCATAATATATAATTTCAGCTTAATATAAAAAGTAATATATAAGTATTCATCTAATAACAAACACCCAAACTTTCAAAACTTTATCCAAAAAAAAAAAAGAGCTCACTTTCACAATGCATGTTTTAATCAACATGCAAAGTGTAAAAAAGAGACCTGAATAATCTACAAAAAGGAAAAAGTGTGGCCAAGGGAGTTGTGGACCAAATCATCAATAACCATGTTCAAACATGCAAAGCGTAAAAAAGAGACCTGAATAATCTACAAAAAGGAAAAAGTGTGGCTAAGGGAGTTGTGGACCAAATCATCAATAACCATGTTCAAACAACTTTTAGTGAAGGTGAAACTGAAATCGTACTTAAAATATTAAAACTAAAAGAGAGGTACCTTTGTTGTAATAGCCAAATGACCCTTATGTCTAATTTTTTCTTCTAAAAGCTTTGAGATGGGCAAAAGAAGGAGGATTCAAAAACCATGAGAAAATAAATTATTAAACTAAGAAAAAAAAAAGGAGAGATAACCAAAAATGGAAATCAAGAAAAAAATTGAAATTCCAAAAAAAAGAAGTAAAAGTAAAAAGACTAAACACAAATTTCTTTTCCTTCATCTATTTTTATTTCTTCCCCTCTCTAGTCGATAGGGAACTGTGCTCTAGCGTACTTCCCTTGTCCTCCTCTCCTTTTCTTTCCCCTTTTGTCCCCCTTTCTACTTTCACTCTATGTCTCTTTCTTCCTCTGCAACGATGGTTTAAACAACATGGATAATGAAGAAAGAAAGCCCTAGGCAACAGAAGTGTAGGAGGGAAAAAAAAAGACAAGGAGAAAACTAACAAAAGAGAAAGAGTACTTGGGAAGCTTTCATGTACAAATCCAAAGTACTCATATGAAAATATCAAAAGACCAACACAGGTTTCAAACTCTAGAACCCTCTATACAGAAGATTCATTATATAGTAAACAGTAGATAGTACAATATTAAAAAATATTCTATAATCTAGTGCTCTTCCAATTTCATTTTAGGCCTTTTTTTTAAGAGCTATCTAAAATCTACTTATAGTGAAATGAAGTAAAATGTTTAAAATAAGATGAGAAAATAAATTTGATTGAATTATATCAATTATTTTTTTGGTTTATGAATGGCTTTTTGTTTTCAAAGTTATTATCATCTATTCTAATTATTTATTTTAAAATAAATTTAAAATAGAAAGAAGAAATTCTATTGAAGAAATGCATTCTAATATTTCTATGCGCATATATATATATATATATATATATATATCCTTGGACTATGGTTAAATTCAAAAAGAAAAGATAAACTAATAAATGTTTGAATTCAAAATTTTATCAAAAAAAGTCTATATGTTTGGTAATTTTTGATATTTGAATTTAAATAATGTATCGAATAAATGATAACCAAAAATAGATTTTATTTAAGTAAAATTCCACATCAGCATTCCTTACTCGCCAACCCGTCATGAAAATTTGTTCAAGAAATTCAAATTTCTTTTGGGCCTTTCTTCCCCAATCTTTTGGATCATTGGGCCAACACAGGGTTTAAGGTTCAAACCCTCGAAAATGGCCATTCTCATCTTCTTCGTGTTTTAACCTCCAAAACTCCAGCCACCTTTTCACTCTCTCAGCCTCCCTCACGCTGCTGTCGAAGGTTTTTCCTACGGCCACCGCCTCCTTCTCTCTTACCCACTTTGCCTTTCCTTTCCCTCCCTTTTCACCGAAATTTACTCTTACAGAAAGAGAAGAAAAGTAAGAAACGGGTGAGTGAAGGAGATGTCGAGTCGGCCAGAGTTGCAAGCCCCGCCCGAGATTTTCTATGACGATACTGAGGCTAGAAAATACACTTCCTCTTCTCGTATTGCCGAAATTCAGGTTCACTTGAAATTTAATATTTTTCTTTTAATTTTCGGTAGCAATTTATTACCTGTTGAAATTACAAAGCTTTGAAAAATTGGGTTCTTGAAAAATAGACAAAGCTTTCTGAGAGAGCACTGGAGCTTCTCGCTTTGCCTGACGATGGAGTCCCCAGATTGCTCCTTGATATCGGTACATATTCAGTCTCTCTCCATATAAAAATTAATATTAAACAATAAATTATGCATAAGTTTTGACTTTTAATTTTGAGTAATTTGTTTTTGTTTTAGGTTGTGGATCAGGGCTTAGTGGGGAGACAATAACTGAGAATGGACACCAATGGATTGGTTTAGATATTTCTCATTCGATGCTGAGTAAGTTAAATTTTAATTTTGTTGAAACTTACTTTTATGGCACTCATTTATTTTCTAAAAGTATATGATGCAACAGTTTTTTTTTTCATTTTTTATTTCCAGATGTTGCGTTGGAAAAAGAGGTAGAGGGTGATTTATTACTTGGTGATATGGGTCAGGTATTTACCAACAATTTCAAGCTTTTCAAATTAAAATGATGATATGAATATATCTTTCTGAAAATAAATACTTTGTTATAATATTTTTTTTTTTGCAGGGTTTAGGACTTCGTCCTGGAGTTATCGATGGGGCTATAAGTATCTCCGCTGTTCAGGTATGCTTTTGGTTCATATTTTGCTTCGCCCTTTTATATATTTGTTGTCAAATCTATTGAATTATGTTAAATTATAACTTTAAACATTTTTGTTGAGTTCTTGACTAAGTTCATTCCTTGTCTTATTTTATTCTCAGTCCTTAACTTTAGAATTTTACCTGTTTTAATTAAGCAGGAGCTTCCTTGTATATATCTAGTAGATTGATTTACACTTGAAACTTTTTTATACTTTTGGGAAGAGAAAAAAGTGTACAAATTAGCTATGCCTTTAATGTGGCTTTGACAACTAGATAATATTGGTGTCCTTAAGAGAAATCTTTAGCAATGGTGTTATGCCTGTAGTTAACACTCCAACGCCTCTTTATGTTAGTATCTCCTTAGTGCGTTTTATATGTTTGAAGATCTCAAATGTTGCTTTTTTTTTTTGGCAATATTTTGAAACATTGCTTTCATTTTTGTGCACAAATTTGTTCATTGAATTAATAATTTCTAGGTGAATGGCACATTCACACTTGTTTTGCTTTTGCCTAAAAGTTACTTGTGATTCTATTTTAAGTATTTATTTATGAGATTTCCTTTGTTTGTAGTGTGCATTATAAGGTTATCCTTTTAATGAAAGAGAAAACACCCAGGCTATTGTTTTCCCTTATGATAAAAATTCAAGGCTATTTTACTATTGTCGTTAAAGAGGTTAACTTTGTAACCCCTGTCGGAATAACCTTGAGGGTCCATGTATGGTCAACAAATAAAACATAGGGATAGGGTGAGAGTGCAGATTACGATTTGTGTTTTTTTTGTGTCTTATTTGTGTCTTAAATTTAAGATGATGAGAGGAGCAATTAAGTTTGGATTATTGTCAAGTATTTACTCTAGTATTAAATTTGATTACATCCCTGCAATTAAGTGTATAATTTCTCCTCATGGTTTTCCAGTAAAAGTCTTTGAAATTTAGTTTGGTGATTTGTGAAGAAAAAAATAATTATTTTTCTTGAACTTTTAATGAGTTGGAATATTGATATTTTTTTGTGCATAACTTCTCTTCAATATTTGTAGAAATGAATGGAGGAATAAATGTGATTTAAGCCTGCAACTTATGATCACCAATGGTTTCAACTTTTCAGAACCTTCATAAGCGGTTTTCTTCAAATTGGTTTTGTATACACATAGGTTACAAGCAAAGTAGATAAAGCATTTTCTTCTTGCTAATTTTTTTTCCCTTATGTTGCTCTGGCATGCAGTGGTTATGCAATGCTGACAAGTCCTCTCATGAGCCAAGATTGAGATTAAAGTATGTTGTGGTTCTTTTCTTCTTAATTTTCATGAACAAAAAAAAAATACCATCCATTCATGCAAATTGAATATGTATTTCAGCCATGTTATTGTGTTTTGATAATTATCATGATTTTTTAGGGCTTTTTTCGGATCATTATATAGATGCTTAGCAAGGGGAGCAAGAGCAGTGCTCCAAGTATATCCTGAAAATCTGGCCCAACGTGAGCTGATTTTGAGTTATGCAATGCGTGCTGGATTTGCTGGTGGTGTGGTTGTTGATTTCCCACACAGGTATGACGTAATTCTATGTGAGTAATTTTATGATTGGCTCTAAAATTGCCTTCATTTGTTTGTGTCTGTGTGCATGTTTAGGGAGAGGGATACTCTGAGTTAAAGACAGTTATCATAGGTACTAAGAGATGCCTTTATTCCATGAAAGCATGCACTTCCTTCTGTGCCTTTGCTCATTGTCAATGAACTTGTTTTAGATTGACATGTTTATGCATCTCAGTGGACCATTTGATTTGAGTCATTTGTTTAAATGAATTAAGATTTTCATTCCCCATTTGTTTGGCTTCTTGTAAGGCGATGGAATGTATTGCATGAAATAACATCTCATTGTTACTGGTTATATTTTATGCAGTTTTGTCCTTTTGTGCATATTTATGTTAGTATTCTGCTTCTTTTCACCTTATATATTTCCCATACTTTGCATTTTCATATTTATTTATATTACATTCGTCTATCTATTAAATTCTGTCTTCCTTGGTGGTGTGGGGAAGCTTCTATTTCTCCCAATGCATGGAATGTAATTTTAGTGAAACTATGCATTTATGAGTTTAAGTAAATATTCTAAATCCACAATGGAAAGCTGCAATACAACATCCTGATTGTTAAATGGATTGAAAGGTTGGTATTTTCATGATGTCTTTTTTGCCACTCTAACATGACGATAATTTTCTGCCAGTACCAAAAGTAGAAAAGAGTACCTTGTCCTCACTTGTGGTCCACCATCTCTCAGCACAGCCATTCCTAATGGAAAAGGTGAAGATGGAGAAAGTTGCTCTGATGATGAGAGCAGCGGAGAAGAAGAAAATCGGACGGTGAGTTATCATATCACACACTCTATTGCCATTTTTTTGGTCAAGGCTTTCCTTTTCTCTAGAAAAGGCAGTAATAAATAAAAAGATAAGTGGCATGCACTATGATGATTATTTTGTGCTTATTCATGAGTGTTGTGGTATTTTTGGGGTTATTGCAGGTTTGCATTTCAGACAGGCACAGACCGAGGAAAAAGCAGAAAATAAACAAGAGAGGCAAGGGCAGAGAATGGGTGTTGAGGAAGAAGGAACAGATGAGAAGGAAAGGTAATGTTGTGCCCCCAGACACCAAATACACAGCTCGGAAACGGAAGGCTCGCTTCTGATGGCTACATTATTGTTAGTATTATATCTAAAGCCTTTGTGATGGGGAGGGGTTCTATAAGTTTTGCCGTCTACTTGTTTACATGTTACTTAAGATGATGTTTGTTTGTTTAAAGATTTAAGGGAATATGGTACAAAATGCCAAAATCTTTGGTTGCATTTTCCTTTTCATATAGTCAGAGTATCCAACATGTAGCATTGTTGTTTTAATGTAAAGTCAGGAACCAAGTATATGGAAATTCATCTTCTCTACGGACGAAAATTTTGTTTGTTGCAAGAGAATTTTCAGATTTTGATTCCGGAATGCTTTTCCTTTCCTGCTCTGTTTTTTCTAGCCTTTCCCAATTGAATATTGCAATTCGTAATTTTTGTTATCATTAATTTTAATTTGCTAATGTATAAAAAATTTTAGTTCATTGGAAAAATGTGTTTATTAATTTTGTCATTTTGAATTAATATTATACATTTTTAATTAATAAATAATTAAAATAATTTCAATTTTATATTTTTTAGAAAATTTATAATTTATACACCATAGTTATTATTTAAAAAATAAAAAAATAAATATTAACAGATAATGTACTTGACTAAAAGAAAATTATATGGAAAGTAACCCTTCATGTAAAACACTGAAAGAATGAAAATGACAAATTTGTCCTTTTGAAAATTCGGTTTAGGAGAGAGTATGGGGAGCTGAGAGTGAGAGTGACGAAGCTGCCAGCAGCAGGAAAAACGTCATTAAATGGCTGGATCAGGACTGCTGAGACCGGAGACGGCCTTGTCTTGCAAGGTCAGCCAAGCTGGAGTAGAATTTGGCGCGGCAACTTGTCGACACCTCCCTCACATTCTCGAGTGCAACTGGAGGTATCTGACCTAAACTAACAGCTGACGGTTGGCCAGATGGAGGTTTTCATGCACCCCTTACTTCCAGGTTGCCCGTGGTCGATATTTCTATGCGGAAAAACAAAAAAAAAAAACACAATACAATTAAGGGTAAAATAGGAAAAACGAACATTTTCAGTAATTATTCCTTTCGAACGTAGGAGGTGGGTTTATCTTGTCTTGGCCCATAACTTACACCCCGGTGTCGAAACGCTAACTTCTTGTATGCATCAAACCTAAAGCATCAAAAACTCTCTTTGAGCAAACTAAAGCCCTTGTTGGCGCCGTTATCTCAACTTCGCATCGCAGCCATGGTTACTACTCAATAAATCTCGTTACCTTTTTTTTCCATTGCTTTTGATCAATCGCAAAATCTCGTTTCATTGATTTTCTTTCTTTATGTTGAAGTTGCAGTCTCAGCAACCCGATAAGAAGCCGGAGACTGAAGGAGACCTTGAACGCAAGAAGAAGAAAGAAGAAAAAGTTTTTTCTTTTCTACTTTTCCATTTTACTTCATTTTCTATTAGGAAATGTTTAATTTAAGGTTATAATCATACCAACCTGGATTGGTCTCAAGTGTCCTTCTTTAATCCTACTTCATTTTTGTACGATAGGCGAGGGAGAAGGAACTGAAGAAACTCAAGGCTATAGAAAAAGCAGAGTTGGCCAAACTTAAGGTAGCAGCAAGAAAATCTGCTTACAAACTTGTGAAAGTGTGTTGTATATGCGGTTAGTTTTGGTTTTAGCAATTTTAAGATCATTTGTTGTATCTTTGTTCAAGGCACAACAAGGATCGAATGCTCCGAAAAAGAGTGCAAAGAAAAATGCCAAGCGAGAAGCGGATGAGGAGAATCCACAGGATTTTGTGGATCCAGATACTCCTTTGGGTGAGAAAAAGAGACTCTCTTCTCAGATGGCCAAACAATACAGTCCATCTGCTGTGGAGAAGTCGTAAGTGTGGAAGTTCACTGGATAGATGATTGTTAGTTTGGTTTCAAAGTTAATTTTTTTTTTTTTTAACTTATGCATTCTTTGTCTCTGTTTGTTTAGATGGTATGCGTGGTGGGAGAAATCAGGGTTTTTTCAGGCTGATGCAAGCAGCTCAAAATCACCTTTTGTGATTGTATGAGTCTAGTTGGAATTTACCATTTTTTAAACCTAAATCTGTGGTTCTTTAATAACTAGACTCACTTTGTAGGTTCTTCCTCCTCCAAATGTGACTGGGGCCCTGCACATTGGCCATGCCCTCACTAGTGCCATACAGGTTGCACAGTAGAATGCTACTACTGCATTTTTGCTTGGTGGCTTTTACATTGTGTTTCATATATGTGTGAATTTTATTGCATGCAGGACACAATGATTCGCTGGAGAAGAATGTCTGGATATAATGCATTGTGGGTACCCGGTGTGGACCATGCTGGGATAGCTACACAGGTTGAGTTCCTTTGGTATTTAATTGGATCAGTTGAAACTTAAGATTCATTTCTTTTTAATTTTGCATTGTACTTAATTACTCCCTTTTCCCCTTTGCTTGTCATATACAAGTGTGACTTGAAGTTACTCTAATGTGAATATTTCAGGTGGTTGTGGAGAAAAAGCTAATGCGTGAAAGATGCTTAACGAGGCATGATGTTGGTCGTGAAGAATTTGTAAATGAAGTGAGTTTAGCTCTGAACCCATGCCTTTTAAAAAGTGTTAGCTCTGAAAGTTTTAATGAGTTTGAACTCTGAAATCAAGTTGGAGCTTATTAATTTTCCTATGCATATGTAAAATTCTTGTGGTTTTGTTGATCTCATAATTATTAGGTTTGGAAGTGGAAGACTGAGAATGGTGTTACCATTCTGAGACAGCTAAGGTGTATGGGTGCCTCCCTTGATTGGTCTCGTGAGGTAAAACATAATGACATGCTTAAGCGTAAAACTTGTGCTCTTTATATTGGCTATTGGCTATATGGTTAAATTCATCATTGGTTGTTTTATTAATATGCTTCTCGTGTTTCTTGCTGCTTTTCATTCTTGTTTTCTTATTTACTTTCTCAGTGCTTTACGATGGACGAGAAGAGGTCGAAGGCTGTGACGGAAGCTTTTTGTCGTCTTTATAAGGAGGGTCTTATTTATAGGTATGCTTTACATGGGAACATACTTTATTCTAAGACTTCATAACTTAGATCTTCTTAGTTGCAACTTATAGATCAATACAACAAACAATTACGGTAAATCTTGAATTTACTTAGGTACCCTGTATAACTCAAAGTGTTAAGAAAAATAGAATCTCAAGGGGGTGGCTTGGTAATAAGCAGTAGAAGGGAAAGAAAAGAAATTTTAGAATCTTTTCTCTTTTGCTAGTTTATTATATCACTTTCTTTACGTAACCTGACAACAGATAACCAAAAAAAAAAGGGATTTCCTTCATCTGTTGCTATCTTTTGTGTTTTTTTCCCCTTCTGGTGAAAATAAATCAAACAGACGCAAGATTCAAGTATGTTTATGAAACTATCATGTTACATCAAAAACCTAACCCAGAACTCTAGCTTTCGTTGTGCCTAATCTTTCTCATGGTTTTTTAATATATTTCCATGGTACTCATGGCACTGATTTTCTGAAGAAAACTCTTTTAAGAAATTGTTTCCAGTTGATTTCATTTGGCTGACTAATGGGAAGTGTTATGCAAGGCTTTTCTCTTCTAAGGGAATTGCTGTACGATGTCTTCATGCTTTAACTGGTTATATCTTTTTCACTGTACTAAATCTTATATATTCTTATTCCAAAAACAAAAATTCTTATATTTTATGATTGTACATAAGCTTTTGTCTTTATCATTACATTGCCTCTTAGACTTCTCTATGCCTTCTACAGGGATCTAAGGTTAGTGAATTGGGATTGTGTCTTGCGAACTGCTATCTCTGATATTGAGGTAAGTCATTTTCTTTAGGTTATTTTTGTTTCTGCACCTTCTGCTGCATATCTTGAATTTGCTTGGTGTTTCTAGGTAGATTATACAGACATCAAAGAAAGGACTTTGTTAAAGGTCCCTGGTTACGGAAAGCCAGTGGAGTTTGGTGTATTGACATCATTTGCTTACCCTTTGGAGGGAGAGCTGGGTGAAATTGTTGTTGCCACTACAAGAGTGGAAACAATGCTTGGTGATACAGCTATAGCTATTCATCCGGATGACAAGAGGTACAGTCATCTGCATGGGAAATTTGCAGTTCATCCTTTCAATGGGAGAAAACTCCCAATAATCTGTGATGCAATTCTAGTTGATCCGAGTTTTGGAACTGGTGCAGTTAAGGTAAAAGTTCAATTGTTCACTTTGAAATGCTATAATTAAATGTTTTTCACTCCTTGTTTTGTGATTTTTGTTTTCATTGTCTTCAATGTTGTACAGATAACTCCAGCTCATGATCCAAATGATTTTGAGGTTGGGAAGCGCCATAACCTTGAATTTATTAACATTTTTACTGATGATGGGAAAATAAATAGCAATGGTGGACCAGAATTTGCTGGAATGCCACGGTTTAAGGCTCGTGAGGCTGTGATTGAAGCATTGCAGAAGAAGGTATGCTTGATATCATTGATCTGTATCTGGGAAGACTTATCTTTCAGTTTGAGATCATGCTATTTTTATAAATATCAATTTCTCTGCTGCAGTGATATGGATAGTTAGATTTCTTGATTATGGGTGTGCTACCCTCCTTTCACCCCACCTTGGGGCCCAAACATAAAAAAAATAGTGCCTTTTCATACTGTGCTGGATGTGCTACATGATCAATGTTTTACAATTGCTCTCTACTTAGGATCACATATTTGGTAAACCCCAGCGCCAGCAAAAATAATAATTAAATGAGAATAACTAACATGCCTAGAATGAAGTTGCTAGAAGGGAGGGTTATGCTGATTGCATCTGGATTTATGGTTCCTTTTCTGAACCGTTGGGATTTCATCATTACTTCTCATGTAGGCATTTTGCTATTGAAGAGTTGCAAATTGAGAAGTAGAATTATTGCTTAATTTTATTTAAACTGTAAATTTTGGTTTAAGTTGTCTTTAGCCCCAAAAAAGGAAAATGTTGTCAGTGTTTGGATGAAAATAAGACAGTGATGGTTCTATGGGATTAAAGAAGACTTGATTTATTATTGCATGATTAAAAAAAACCTGAAACAAGGAAAAGAAATCTAAAATCCTGTCAATGTCATGCATCATGGCATCATGTATGCTGAAAATCAAATACATTCGTTTTGGTTGGGTGGGTGTTTAATATGAATCATGAAAAGTCTTTAAGCTGTAAACCAGTGCAATTTGTCACCTTATTCTATGCATGTATATGCATCATTTTTGGCATTAAATAATTTCTTATTTCACACATGGAAGATCTCAAATTCTTGAAGTTATTTCTTATCATTAGAAATTGTATAGAGGAGCTCAAAATAATGAGATGCGACTTGGCCTGTGTTCAAGAAGTAATGATGTTGTGGAGCCGATGATAAAGGCCCAGTGGTATGTTAATTGCAGTAGCATGGCAAAGCAGGCTCTTGATGCAGCCATGGATGATGAAAACAGGAAGCTTGAGTTCATTCCAAAGCAGTATACTGCTGAATGGAAAAGGTACCCATTTAGTATTTTTTTTTTTTTTGCTTGCTGCCAATGTGTAATAGAATATATAATCTTGCCTGGAGTATTGTGACTTTTTTGTGTTGGATGTTGTCAGATTCTCATATTTGATCTAGACTGCAGCATTTGATTAAGCAAAGCCTAAAGAAAATGATGAAGGAAACTACGGATTCTACAAATTTTAGATTAATAACTCCTGTTGCTTTCTATGGAAACGGTTCAATGGCAGGGGTTAATTTCTATTATAATTCAGTTATATAATCTTATTATATTGGCTGCATAACATGAGTAATAGGTTCCAATCATTGCAGATGGCTTGAGAACATACGTGATTGGTGTATTTCAAGGCAGCTTTGGTGGGGTCACCGTATTCCTGCATGGTATGTGACACTGGAAGATGATGAAATGAAGGAACTTGGTGCATATAATGATCACTGGATGGTTGCTAGAGATGAGGAACAGGCTCTAGCAGAAGCTAAGAAGAAATTTCCTGGGAAGAAATTTGAGATGTTGCGAGATCCTGATGTACTTGACACTTGGTTTTCTTCTGGTCTTTTCCCATTATCTGTGTTGGGATGGCCAGATGATACAGATGATCTAAAAGCATTTTATCCAACTTCAGTCCTTGAAACTGGGCATGACATTCTTTTTTTTTGGGTTGCTCGAATGGTTATGTTGGGAATTATGTTGGGAGGTGACATACCATTCAGGAAGGTGAGTGCATTATTGTTCTAAATTATACACAGCACTCCTTCGATGGTGCTTCTGGTTCTTTATTGATTCCTTGATTATTTTTGCTTTTTCAGGTTTACTTACATCCTATGATCCGAGATGCACATGGGCGTAAGATGTCAAAGTCTTTGGGAAATGTAATAGATCCTCTTGAAGTAATAAATGGAATATCACTTGAAGGTCTTCACAAAAGGCTGGAGGAGGGTAACTTGGATCCTAATGAGCTGGTCACTGCCAAAGCAGGGCAGGTGAAAGATTTTCCCAATGGTATTGCTGAATGTGGTGCAGATGCTCTCCGGTTTGCTCTTGTTTCTTACACTGCTCAGGTTCATGCTTCTGTGTGCTTATTCCATTATGATTTATTTCCACTCGCATGAAAATTTATATTAATCCTGAATTTTTCTCAAGTGAGCCTGCATCTGGCAGCTAACTTTTTTTTTGTTATTTTCTCATTTTAGTCTGATAAAATAAATTTGGATATCCAAAGAGTGGTTGGCTATCGACAATGGTGTAACAAATTATGGAATGCTGTTCGTTTTGCTATGAGCAAACTTCCAGATGACTATACTCCTCCACCAACCATAAATCTGGGGACGATGCCTTTCAGTTGTCGTTGGATACTCTCAGTGTTGAACAAGGCTATATCAAAAACTGTTATGTCATTAAATGCATATGAATTCTCAGATGCTGCGACCAGTGTGTATTCATGGTGGCAGTATCAATTCTGCGACATTTTCATTGAAGCAATCAAGCCTTACTTTGCTGGTGATAATCCAGCCTTTTCCTCTGAAAGGAATTCTGCACAAGATGCTCTTTGGGTTTGTCTGGAAAGTGGCCTGCGATTACTTCATCCATTGATGCCATTTGTTACTGAAGAACTGTGGCAACGTCTTCCAGGAGTAAAGAGCCACACAAGGAAGGAATCTATAATGATATGTGAATACCCATCACCAATAGAGGTAAGCCAAGATTCATTTAGCTAATACTTCTTTTGGCTTTGGTTATCCTGACAACTGAAAATCATGCTGACTGGGAACAAACTATTTGTAAAAGTTCTACATTTAATTTCAGTTTTTGTGCAATGGGTGTTATTTTTTCCCCTTTGCAGAGTTGGACAAATGAAAGGGTGGAATATGAAATGGATCTAGTGGAGTCCACTGTAAGGTCTTTTAGGTCACTTAGAGCAGAGCTGCTTGCTAAGCAGAAGAATGAAAGGTAAATATGCGAAGCTTCTTTCTTTTATTTTTAATTTTTAAAGAAGCTTCTTTTTGATTGCCTTGACATAAATTACAGCATCTATTTGTCCTTTTCTTATTTTAAGTCACATGATCAAGGACAGCTAAATTTGATTAATTTATTTGATTCAGGTTACCTGCCTTTGCATTCTGTCAAAATGAGGAAGTGGCAGAAATCATTAGATCTTGTGAATTAGAGATCTTAACCCTTGCCACGTTATCATCATTAAAGGTATTTTAAACAATCTTTCTATTATGGGGTTACTGTTTTTTATGCTTGTTATATATTGCAGCATATTGAATAATGGATATCATGAGTTTCAATTCAGAATGTCAGATTATCTTATGGTTAATGTTTAGAGTGATTTCTAAGTTTCGCAAATGACAATTCTGCAGGTTCTACTGAGTGGTGTAGATGAGGCTCCAGCTGGATGTGCATTTGAGAATGTCAATGAAAACCTTAAAGTTTATCTTAAGGTTCACGGAGCTCTAAATGCAGAAGCAGAACGTGAGAAGATCAGGAATAAGATGGATGAAATACTGAAGTAAGTGCTATCTATTTAAGAATGATATATGCATGTATACTCGGGTTCTTCTTTGATTTGATGGATATCAATATAGCAAGAGAGTTGGCAGAAGTTACTGTTACAGTGGTCTTTACTTGTGTAGTGGTGCAATATGTAAATGGTTTAAAGGATGAAATTTGATGATTGTAACAGGCAGCAGGAGAAGTTGAGGAAGATAATGAATGCATCTGGGTATCAAGAAAAGGTTCCAGCTCATATCCAAGAAGAGAATGCTACAAAGCTGGCAAAACTTCTCCAAGAATTTGAATTTTTCAAAAAAGAAAGTGGGCGAATGGAATCTGACGCAGAGCAGCAAAAGTAAGAATGACCACTTGAGTTTCTCAATTATACATTGTTTTTCTTTGCAATGATTGTTACATTCTAAACCTCACCAATACGTTGTCGATTTTGACCAGTTAGTGGGTTATTCCTCATGCACGCCACGTTTGTCATGCAAGATTTCTCAGTTAGCTTTATTAAGATTCTTTTTTTAATGAAAGTTTCATTGAGAATCTATGGTTAGAAATGTGCTTGGGCTTTCAAGTTCTTGGTAACATCTCTATAGAAAATTTTAGTCAAAAGACTCCATAAGTCTCTGTATTATAAGGTTTTTGTTAATTTAGTCCCTCTATCTCAAAACTAGTTAATTTAGTCTTTATTTTGAGGTTTTGTGCAATTTAAGTCCTTTTGTCTAACTCTGTTCAAATTGACTGTTGAAATTGACCATTAATGGCGCACTGATATGTTAGATAATGATGTAGTGTTGACGTGTTAGGTTAAATTTTTTTTTTTTTGAATTTTTTTTATAAAATTTGCTAGTGTCAAATTAATAAAAATGATAAAGTATAAAGATTAAATTGAATAAAATTATAGAGTACGGGAATTGAATTAAATAAAATTTTATCATGTAGGGATTAAATTGAATAAAATTTTATCATTTAAAGATTAAATTAGGCACTTTTATTAATTTTTGTTTAACATTACATTTGTACAAAAAATTATATTTGTACACAGCTTTTTTTTAATAATTAATAATGATTTAATTTGTCATTTGTGCAAAAATTTTATAAATTGATTGTACTGCTTAATTACAAAAAAAACAAGGCTAGGCAGAACAGAAATTCCTTTTGTAACTGATAATTGCAAAATTTTGTAATTGATAATAAATGAATTCCTCTTTAGAACCAGGTAGGGTGACAGATGAAGTTGCAAAATCAAGGAGGGCAACATAAATACATGCAAAAATCATTTCAATATTCTGCAAAAAAAAAAAATCAACTCAGTACAAACATACTATGTGATATAAAGTTATGCAATGAGAGATAATTCTTTGTCATCTCATAAATAAATCAATTTAGTCATACACAATTGCGGTTTTACTTATGAAAATGATTGTCAATCACATCTTCATCTTTCTATGTTACAATCTGAATTAAACAGGTCAAAACTTGTACAAAGAAGGTTAAAGATTTATATTTGATGCATTAACATCA